GTGTGTGTGTGTGTGTGTGTGTGTGTGTGTGTGTGTTGGGAGGGGGTAGTACGGGCTCGTGAACGCGCCTTGTGACAGACAGATGAGAAGAAATTGTTTATCTGTGGAAGAACAAAGGAGATGAGGATGTGCAGGAAGATGATTCTTAACAATAATATTTTTAATGCGCGTGCACGACCAGAACGTGCTAAAGAACAGAAGAAGATAAAAAGATCCCAGCACTGTTAGGGCGCAAGGACATGAGGAAACGAGGGGATGGTAAAAGGAAAGGAAAGACTGGGGAGAAGTAATGTGGGGATGGTGTATGCAAATGATTGATGACTTTACAGCAGCCTCAGACAACAGCAGTAAACAGATTTGACTGTGAGACTGAGATCAATATGAATGTGCACATGTGTGCGCGCGCGCGTGCGTGCCATTGTTCATGCTTCGTGACTGCAAGCAAAGCACAATTGCAGAGATATTTCTCCTCAGCGGGGAGGATGTTGGTCTCTGTGTCTGCAGATACATCTCTCCGTCCCGTTCTCCTCTTCCTGTTTCCCCACCATACACACGATTGTTTTAATCCCCCCCCCCCCCCCAGATTGATAGCCCCCCGTATTGATTGATCCACACTTCAGAACCATTTCATGGAACGTTTATTCAATCGGTTCAGGCCCAGCCATGCCCCCAGAATCTCCTCCAGGCCTCTCTATAAGTGCTGTCTCCAACCAAACTCAATCCTCCCTAATGTAATGACTGAATGCTGGTGCTAATATACTGATAATTTAATATGTAATGCCTGTTTCCCAACTATTTGTGCTACGGGCCATTCTGCAATGCCAACACCAGTCTGCTTCTCCTCCATCAGCCCAAATGGGAGCAGCCCATGGGGCAAACACTCATAAAGCGAAACTAAGGAGTTAGCACAAGACAGAGGAGCGGTCAGAGCATATTTCAGATAATCTATGGGTTCAAATGAGACTCCTTTGGCCTCTCCCGAAGCATTGATAAGGACCATGGAGAGTGAGGGAGGTGCTCATTAAAAGGACCTCTCTTGAGACAAGAACCGAACCACTATCTTTAGSTGCCTTGTTACCAAATGAGCTGTTCTGAAGAGACAGCAGTCTCAAGTGGCTCCTGCTCATGTTGTCTCTTTTATCGTGTGTCAACAGTGTCAAAGGTATCAGCCAGCGTCCACTTAAGGCTCATCTCATGGCCTTGCGCTTGATTTGCTGCCTTGCTCAGCTTTTTAACAATGCAGGAAAGTTGCAGCTTTGGTGCTGCTTTCTGTTCTCCCCCTGATGAGAAAACAGGTGTGACCTAAATCTGAGACACGCAAAACACTTGCTAGACTTGTTATATGAGACAAAACACTTTTATTTTACCACACTCTAAAAATGAAATGTTGGATTTACTTAACCATGTTATGTTACCTGGTTCCGCTTAACAGAGTTGAGTAAATTCAAAGCAACATACTCATGTTCTTTGGTTAAAAAACTGGTATATTGCTTTGAATTTACGCAACTCAGTTAAGAGGAACCAGGTCACATAACATGGTTAAGTAAATCCAACATTTCATTTTTTACAGTGCATGAGACATCTCCTGGTGATGATTATTAATCAGAACTTTTATAAATTCATCTTCAAAAAAATCTGAATTTACAAAAAAACACTGAACATTAGGGGGAAATGTCAATTATTTCTGTGCCAAATGGTATTTTTTGGCTTAAACACTTTGTTTTAGTGGTGGAGGAAAATACAAAAACACAAAAAGCTCTGTTCTCTGAAAAATCTTAACGTTAAGCTGAACACACCAATGATAGGCTGGTTCCCTCGTATTAATTTAGGCTGAACACAACTTTTTTTTATTCATAGTGTATCAAATAGTGTTTTTTTTTTTGTGAAGATCATAAGAAAACAGCAGGAAAAAATCATAACCAGTAGTAAAGTCAATGCACTTCAGCTTCCCTCTAACACAGCTGAGTGTGACTGGATTGGCTCATTAAAAGACAAATAGAATTAAACATCATGTTTGTGTCTTTCCTTAAACAGAGATGAGAGTGAGTGGAAGTGAAACAGACCTATTTATCCTGTGAATTCAAATAAAATGCAGCATGCATCAGTGCATTAGTTTTACAGTTAAATCTGAAAGAAAAAAACAAAACATGTTTATGAGTGTGTGTGAGTATGTGAGTGTGTGAGTGAGCAGATGGGCCGTGTGTTGCAGACGGTGAACTAACCGCACCGTGCTGCTGCTACTCGCCGCCTGGACGGCCGGATGAGCTCGGGCTCTGTGTGCGGTGAGACGGGCCCTCTCCCGCCCTGGACGGACTACTGCAGGTGAGAAACAGTTTGGTGTCAGTCACTCTCTGTCACACCCACCCCTCTTTCAGATGTATAACGATTACTGATTGTATTGATCATGTCATCTGAGCCTGGATCTTTGCTGGGATCTAAAAAAAAATAAAATTAAATTAAAATAAGTACAACGCCCGGGTCCCACCCCCTCAGCCCATCACAATACACAGCACATGCAGCCGAGGAGAAAAACATGCACTTTTATTA